AAGAGAAAAGGCTTCAAGGTTTACAGTAATAATGGCTTTAGGTCCCTGTAAAGTAACATAGGCAACTGCTATCATCATAACCCACATGCCAGAGGTATGATCTACTGCAAAGCTAGGAGACATTAATAAGACCCAGATATTGCTGGATAGGTGTGGTGTTGCACACCTATAATCCCAGCACTCTGACAGTTGAGGCAGGAGGATCGCTGTGAGTTTGAGGCCAGCTGGGCTACATAAGGAAGTTCAAGGCCTGCCTACACAGTGAGACCTTGTCTCAGGAAAAAAAAGATAGACTCAGATACGTGACCTTCAAAATAAGTAATTTTTAATTCAACTAAAGCCAACATAAGCAACTGCTGTCATCATAATATACATACCAAAAGACCTCTTAAAGATTCATTGTAAATGCAATGAAAAATTATTAGATTTTAAACAGAGGCATGATGTCATGAAAGTTATGTTTTAAGACAGTAAATCAGAAAATTTTATTTTTCTGTGTCGTGGCAAAAACAGATTTATAACTCTTATGAGCCAAACTTTTCTCATCAGTCTAAACTTCTTTTTATTTTCTCCTTTGCCTTTGAGCTTTGCTTGTGAAATAGTAACTTTCTCATAAGTTTTAAATCAAAATTCAGCTGTCACAGATGTGTTCTTCCTCTTCCTCCCATGCAAACCCAGTGTCTGGTATAAGAAAAAGTTTGCTAATTTTTCTTTGGTGTAGCTGGCCTACCTGCTATCTTTGTTTCTGATCATTTGCAATTGAGCCATCTCCTGCTTACCTTCAATTCACCCCTGTCCATCTACCTCTGTCCTGCAACTCACACAGAAGTAGATAAACACCAAGACTCTGGGGGCATCAGCCACCATTACTGCTGTCAGCTGCTCCTCTGTCGCTAAGGAGTCCTGTTGGTCTAGTGTCCTCTCAATACTGTGGGGCCTCCTAGGGACCACTTGGAGCCCAGAATTATCAGGGAGTTCTACGTAAACACCTGCCTTATCCATTTGCTATCTCCCATTCTCCCCTTTCCACCTCCCTGTCAAAACATAGAATTTCTAGGCCTTTACACCACCACCAAACTCAAAGGATCTCAGGTCACCATTTTCCCTATGTGAATATTTCTATTGCTTCCTCTCACCTCCATGCTTCTACTCTCAACCTAAAATGTTTCCTTTTATTTCATCTTCTTTTCTGGAGGGAGTTCTATCACATGTTGCTTTTCCATGTGGGGGCTACAAAAATGGCCATGACCGTAGGAAAATATTATTGGATTTTGAATATATAATTTGGTTTAGGATGTCCATGGAAAAATTTTCACATCATTTTATTTTCAAAAACATTTATCTTAATTTAAATTATTTGCTTCTTTAGCTCCACCACAAGATATAAATCCCAAGTGTATGGGGCTTTTTTTTTTCTGTTTTCTGTGGTGCTTTTCTTTCCAGCACCTACCACAGGTTCTGGTGCCCAGCAAACATTTATGGAAAATATGAAAGAATGGGATAAGTTCTTAGCCAGATTCTTGCAGAGAGAGGCAGGACACTGAGGCTTTTTCTAAGAAGTGGCATTTTTCTGTGTAGGCAGGGGACTCAGTGAATTAATATTCAAAAGCCTGAGCCCTTAAGGTGGAAGCGTTTTGACTTTTATACAATTTTTGTGTCTTTGTCTCCCATAAATGGTAACACACAAACATACTATAGCCCTGATGGAGTATAATCTATGTTACAGAGCAGTGCTAAAGCTAATGCGTGTATCTAGGAACTAACTGAGCTGGGTTGTCCTTTTTAACTCTGAGAAGGGCCCCCGGCCCACACTGAAATCCTTTGGGAGGAGCCCAGCATACTCCTGGAGAAGAGTCCTGTCACAAACAAACCAGTGAGTGAAATTCATTCTCTAGGCACTAGAATCCAGTGAACTGAAGCAATCAGATTTGCAGACTCTCGGCCCTTAAAGCTGTCATAGTCATCATAAGCAGTTGTCTGTACTGTCCCTATCCCCCCAAAATAATTATTAAATTAGATCTCAGCTACATGCACTGTGGTAGGAAAATTTGCTACTGTAAATATTCAGGTCTTTGAACGGGCCTCCTGGGAAATGGTGAGGAGACATCACCAACCTCAGAGAGCCTCCTCTTCCCACTGCTTCCCTTCTTACTAGCCTCCTTTCTTCCCTAACACTGGGGCCCTTTAGTCACCTAAATTGTCTAGCCATTGTAACCTGTTCCGGGAATTTCAGCTGTCTTCTGGATACTCAGCCCCCTCTGCTGTGATATTTGCATTTCATGCATAATTTGTCTATAGCATTACAAATTTCACACTCCTACATTTTTACTGGTATAAGAATGAAGAATACTATTTTAGTATTTCTCTTTATCAAGTGAAATTAGCATTTCACATTACATGAAGAATAAAAATTTTTTGTTTTTCTCCTTAAAATGTCTGGGACTTAGCTAGGCCTGAAGTTTTAAGTTCTCAGCCACTTGTTTGCACAGGTTTCTTGGTGTAGCAATGGTGCTGTGGCCTTCTGCCTTGGGTCTCCTCCTGGAAGGGGTGACCTGGTCAACTTTCCTTCACTGAGACAGAAGAAGCCTGAAGTCTGACACACCATTCGAGAGTTGCCTCCTGAAGTGATCATATTTGTGTACAGGATTTCCTACACAAGGATGGGTGCAGAAGCCTCCTCACTAATAGATGTACCTGAAATCTTTCAAGACTGGTGTCATGAGAGCTGAGAGCTTCACAGTCTAGGCCTTCTCTCCAGAGCAGAATCAAGGGTTGTGTCAAGAAAGGTCCTAAAATGAAGAAAACAAGAGTCCCAAATACATTTTCGTAAAAACCAGAGACTTCTGTTCTCAGTATTTATGAGGATTTCTAGTAACTGTGAGACAGTTATTTTCATGGAATCTTGCTGTGAATGAATTGACAATCAAAGCAGCACAAATATTAACGAACTCTTCAGACAGGAAGAGGGACATAGAGAATAACTGGAAGACCTTATGACATCTTTTATAAATTCATAAGCCTAATGCTAACCTTAAGAACCTAGAAGTTATTCATAACTTGCTTCAATGTCTGAAGGGAAAGAATTAAACTGAGAAAATACAATCTAATTAGAGGTTTTTCCAGGCAAGAAACCAGCATAGGAATACTATAGACAGCTAAGTAAGGTAGAAATATTACAGGCTGTCAGGTAGAGCTGGGCCCTCCAGGGAATCAAGACAAAAGATGGAAACACACCAGAAGTGTGGCAAAGATACATCAGTTGGAGGACAGGCCTCAAGATAACAACAAAAGGACCAGACCTACATACTCCCCAAGAGGTGAGGTAAGTGATAACACCCAGTCTAACAAAATCTAAATAGACATCACTCACACACACTCACACACACACACCCATGGGCAACTGACACCCCAGATCTATCACCTACCTGAGAAGTTCTTTGATCTTTCCATGCCCATTCACTACAAGACTTGTTTCCCCACTGGATCAATATTACCTAAGCAGCTATACCTACAGTTTTTTTTTTTAATTTTATTTATTTGTGTGTGTGTGTGTGTGTGTGTGTGTGTGTGTGTGTGGCCAGCTCAGCCCACCAGGGGGCTGGGCTGGCTGGCATGTGGTCCTGGGGGATTGAACCATGGTCCCTGTGCTTTCCTAAGCTTGTTCCAAGTAGGTGCTTTAGACCACTGAGCCATCTCACCAGCCCCTATACCTACAGTTTTATTAATCATGACTAACCCATATGGTACCTACCTGGGTTTCCTCTTTAAAATTTTCCTACAAAATGGAATCCTCAGCTACCCATTTGGGACACATCCTGTTCCTTAGGCAAGAGGCTCTCTCTCTCTCTCTCTCTCTCTCTCTCTCTCTCTCTCTCTCTCAATATCTTCCTACTCTTAACCTCCACTGTTCCTAGAATTCATTGAGTTTTAGAGACCATGAACTTGGTGTATTGGGTCTCTAACAGCTTGGGAGTTATAACAGGTTGGGGGGCAGTAAGATAGCTCAGCGGTCTCTTATATCATATCTAGAGATTCTGATATCATTCCTGTTATCAGTCTTATCTCCATTTTATAGATGAGAAAATTGAGGCATGGCAAGATTTGGTACTTTGAGGCTGGAGATATAGCTCACTGGTCTAAGTGCCTGCCTGACAAGCTCAAGGACCTGGGTTCAATCCCCAGCACTGTATGTCATGCAGGCCATGAAACCAAGCATGGTGGATCATGCCTATAATCCCAGCACTGGGGAGGCTGGGCAGAAGGATCACTATGAGTAAAAGCTGTGTAGTGAGGCCCTGTACCAAATAAAAAATCAAATAAAGATTTTTAAAAAATTTTTTAAAGATTTGGTAGTTTGAAGTAGTCACTGTGAGGTAAAAGGTAGGATCAGAGTATGGCAGTTCAATGTTAGAATTCATGTCTTTAATCATAATGCCAGAATCATAATTCTGACATTAGCAATCAAGACAAAACAGGGTGGGCACAGGTATGTATACTACTATTCTCAGATACTGAGAGGCAGTAGACTTGTGAGGCTGAGGCAGGACGCTTGTGAGTTCAAGCCCAGCTTTGGCAATTCTGTAAAGCATTTTTTCAAACTTTTCAAAAAAGGTTGGGGGGCCAGCAAGATAGCTCAGCAGTCTAAAGCATCTGCCTAGGCAAGCTTAGGCAGGCATAGGGGACTATGGTTCAATCCCTTGCATCACATGCTGTGCCAGCCCTGCCCTCAGGGTGGGGTAAGCCAGCCAAAAATACCAAAAAGTTTGGAGATATAGTTCAGGGACAGAGTACTGCCTAATGTGTACAAGGTTCTAGTTCAACCACCTGGTACCACAAAAAACAACAAAAAGACAAAAGGTTTGACCCAGGATTGCACTGTATGAACTATGAGAGGCATTCAAAGAGAAGGCTGTTAGGCCTGGGCCTGTGTGGGGGATGGGAGTTCTTCATTCTATGATGCAGTGGTGACCTCAGGATAAACTGCCACTAGGCAGAGGAAAATGCGCTGGCTGCTTGAACACCTACTTGGAGCTACAGAAGATACAGGATTCCTCTGGGGCCCACTGACACATGCTCTGGCCTGCAGCCACTGTGGCCACTGTTGCCTCCACAGTCCAGGATATCTGATGATACTTTTCTTGTTCATGGTTTGGCAGATTCAGAGATGGCAACAGCATGAGTCCTGGTGCCCCTGGGACATGATGCAAAGCAAGGTGGGTGACCAAACAAGGATGTACAGCTGGATGAATGACTGTTGACACTATGTGGGTATGGGTCAGGGATCATTGATATAATGTGACACCTGATTTCAGGCTGGCTAAGTGTCCTTAGACAAAAGATTGGAAGCCTGGTGTACAGGTAGGGTTAGGTAAGGAAAAGCTCATCTCCAAACGAGGACAGTGTTATGAAGATTTACAGTGGTTGAGAAGCTGGGGCACAGCTGACCAGAGAGGTTAGGCCAGGTAAGACACTGTTCACTTAGGAGGTAGAGCAGAAAGTGGGGACTTTACAGTACCCCTTGCATCTCTGAGTTCCTGAGTAGCTTTCTCTGTTCCCTAGGGTTTACCACTTCTGTGTGAGTTGGCTTTCTTTGATTGCCTGTGGAAGCAAAAGTCAGAGGAGAAAGAAGAGGGGAAAGAGGAGGAAGATAAGGAAAACCAGTCATCACCTCTGGATGCAGTGAAACCACACTCCAGTCCCAAAAGAGCTTCCACTGGAGACCAAGGTGCTGCAGCCCCACAGCAGCCATCCTATGGTTCCCAGAGACTCCCTAAGGCCACAGGCACAGCACAGCAAATACTCCCACAGCCCTCCAGCTCCTTCAGATCCTTCCCTACCTTCCGGATCCCTACCAACATACCTTTGAGAAATGAGAATGCAACAGGGAGCTGCCTGCAGCAGAAAAAGCACCAGCTTTTCTACGGACTCACCTCTCAGCACAGTAAGTCCTTGGGTACTGTCTTTCTGAGCTCGGACAGCTCCTCTCCCCTGAATTCTCTCTGTCCTGTCTTCAACAAGCTTCCTTTCCTACCTAGGTATAACCTGTTGCTTCTCCATTACCACTCCCCAACCCAGCTTCCTGCCTATGAAGCCCATACTAGGGATGATCGGGAAGGGATGGGCCCTGATACTCAGCCCATTCCCCCTCCACTCTCCTCTCCTGTCCCACCTCTATCCCCCAATCTTAAGCCCTTGCCTACACACAACAGTGGAGGCCTTTCTGGTGCTGAGGCACACAAACAGTGGCTTCCCCAGGAAAGAGCACTGCTTTGGGTGTCTGATGATCATGCCCTGTGCCCACAGCCTGCACTCCAAGGAATCAGAATCACCAAGTGCTCATCCTCATCTGAGGCTCACAGGGGGGAAGCATGGCACCCCAGACTCCATCAACATAATCCAGAGTCACCCTGTATCTCCCCACTGTATCCCTCTAGCTCTCTGGGAATGCTGACTAGGTTTGAGGTCCTGCTGAGGACAAGGAAACAAGGTAAATACCCAAAAGGCTCTGAGGAAGCAACACGAGCTCCCATCCCACTCCCAGCTTCTCTAGCAGAACTCCAGCGAGTCAGCCCTACAGGAGCCCTATCGAGATCTAAGGGCCTCTGTGAAACTACAGAGCAAAAGGAGGATCCTCAGGCCTCTGAGCCCCTATCCTGGCCCCCTGCCAAGCCACAGTACCCATGACAGAACCCCAAGGATCTTGTCCCCCAAGCATTCTACCTGGATATGAACCTCAGTGGGGAGCCACAGGACACAAAGAGAGGCCCCAAGTTTCTGGACCTTCAGTTCCACCCTCCTACCAATATCTAAGTTCTGTTAGAACTCCCAAAGTCATCCCTAAAGGATGGTGTTCTGTTCCTAAGTCCTTCCAGGAAAACATGGGATACCTAGATAAAATCTTCCTGTAAAATCTCCAATACTAGCCCCCTACTCTCCCGAAGACTCCCTTCAGAATCCAGGAAGAGAATCCCCCAGAAGGATCATTTGGGTGTGAACCCTAGTAGTGATACAGAGGAAACTTGGGAAATCCCCATGCCATTGAGCTCCTCAACCCAGAATTCTATGGAACCAGCCCTGCATGTGTCCCATCAGGATGGGAGACTGCACAGCAGGACACACGGAAAGGAGATCTTTGTGTCTCTGCTGACTTAGTTTCATCTTCCAGCCTTCCTAGCCTTCCCTCAGCCTCCCTGCTGCAATCTCCAGAAATGGGCCCCCAGGGACTCCTGTCAGAGTCCAAAGCTTTGTGGGACACCAAGGAGCAAAAAATGTACTTCTGGGTGTCTGACTCCTCAGAGCCTGCTCAGAGAACACTTCTAGTCCCCTTAGTACGACTACATAGAATCAATATTGGGGGGTCCTCCCTAGATTAGAAACTATGTGGAAAGGCATTGAGCATTCAGGGAATTCCTGGGCTTCTGAGCCCCAATCTGTGGTCCTCAACCCAGCCCCTGTTTCTGTACTAGAACCTCTCAGAGCCAGGGTTTTGTCTACTGAAGCTACACGTGGAGACATACAAAGAAGAAAGAACTCAGAGGCCTCCCAGCTCCTAGCTCCCAGTTTACTTCAAGACCTGCATGGAGCAAGCCCCCTGGTTGTGTCTGACCCTGAGCCTGTTAATGGGGACGTGGAACAGAAAGAAAACTCTTGTGTCCTTGTGTCCCCAGTTTGGGGGCCCAGCTCACTTGAAAACTCTGTTTCCAAGTCTCATATAAATGAATCTCTTCAAGACCAAAGCAAATATAAGCCTGTAGAGGAAGCAGTAGAGCCAAGAGAGACCTGCTGGGCCACTGAACTCCCAGCTCCCACCTCCCTCTCTGTTCCAATACCAGAGCCACACACTGGCCTTAAGTCTGTGTATAAAACTGGGCAAGAAAAACAGGACCCCGGGACCCTTGGCCTTATTGTAGAGGATGCTGCACCTCCAATATCCTGGCCTTCCATCCTAACTGAAGCACTCGAGACCAAGCCTTCCCAGTGGGCTCTACAGAAAGAAGAAATGTCTGCAGGAATTAGGTCAGAGACCCCATCCTCCCAGGGTCAGGCTCTCCCAGAGGTGATCACCCACCTGAGGGTCCCCACCTGGCAATGGAGTAGGGAGTTGGAACATAGACTGAAGAAGCTGAAGCAGAGCCCTGCTTTCAGATCTCCTGGCCCAAGTCCAATTTGCTGCTCTGCTGCCCTGAATCCCACTGATCTAGACTCCTGGACGCTCTCTTCCTGGGCCCCATGGGAGACTCATCCCCCAAACCTGTACCTCCACTCTTCATCCTGCCACCCCCCAGACACTCAGCACACAGCACCTCAGCCTGTCCAGGCCTCCCACTGTCGTCACTCCTCTTCCTCTCAGAGGCTTCAGCCAAGAGCTTCTTGCCAGGCAGAGCAAAGGTCTCAAAAAGAGGAGAGAATAAAAAGGAAGATGGTAGCCCAGATCCCATCCCACGGGCCAGGTTTCACAAAAAGGCTGGGGAGAAGTGTTCAGACTTGGGAAAGCCCTCATTTACTGAGGTTCTGGCCTCAGTCAAGAGACAGAACAAGCTGTTGGTCCTATCTTCAGCCAAGGAAAGAGAGTCACAGAAAACCCAAAGCAACAGAATGTGCACAAGGAAACTCTGGACTGGGCTCACTCATAGTCGCAGGACAGAGCCACACTGATCAGGCCGGCAGACTGGCAGGAGCCTCTGGAAGTAGCCTTTCCCCAAGGTCTTAGCACAAGGACCAGACCTCTCAGCACACTACCCTTCTTCAACAGTTTCTCCAGGCCGTTGCTCCTCAGGCTCAGCCAAGGGCAGGGCTGGGGCCTAGTGCCATCCTGAACCCTCAACACTGCAAGCACTGTTCACAGGCCCACAAGGAGATGTATCTCCCAACCCCAGCACCCCAGGCTCCCATTATTAGGGATCTCTGAAAGGTACTGGCCAAATTTCTGGATACTCATGGACTCCCGCCAACAAGTCCAGTCATGGAGGGAAAGGCTGCTAGCACAGGCACCTTGTACCTCATGACATCAAGCCAAACAAGCTATATCATGGGCAGGTGAAGAAAAAGCCGAGAGAATCCTAATAAACGAGATCATTTACACAAATTCCACTCTTGTCTTCTGTGGTGTGTAGGGTGGTGGAATGTGGGCACCCTGTTAGCCTCTGCCACAGCCATATCCCCTCAGAATCAGATTCCAGAAGTACAGAGCTCAATATTATCATACTTAATGTTGTTTCCTTCTTGAGCCCTTCTTCTTAGCCATTCTTCCTTTCTTCCCTGGGTCGGCTCACCTATCCTCAAGGCTACAAAAATAAGAGCATTTAATGGGTTTAGTAACACTAGGAATTTTCTTCTATAACTGCCTATTCTTGACCATTTCACATTTTTCTACTAGCCTTTTTAAAAATACTGCTATAAAAATTACCACAAAATAGCAGATTTATTTTGTCAGGAATCTGATGTCTCACAGGTATAAAACTGAGAGGCTGGCAGCGCTGCATTCTTTTCTGTGACTTTAGTTAGGGTCCACCCTACAGGCTGCCCACATTCCTTAGCTCTGGCCACTTTAGAGCCAGCAAAAGCAAGGCAAGCTCTCACATTGCCTCACTCTGGCCTGCTATCTTCCCCTCCTACTTTTAAAGACCTTTGTGAGTACACTGGATCCATCTGGGTAACCACCCAGGACATACTTCTTATCTTAAAATCAGTCAATGAACAACTCCTAACTCCATCTACAGCCTTCACTGTCTTTGCCATGTAAAAGAATAAATTCAGATTGTAGTGTTTAGGATACAGACATCCTGGTATGATATTACCCTGCCTACCAGAGATATTAACTCAGTCTGTTAAGTATGTTACAAATATGGTGTCCCAGTCTGTAGCTTATCGCTTAGTTTTGTTTGTAGTAACATTATACCAAAGTTTAAAATTTTATGTTGTTAAATTTGACATTTTTTTTTTGAGACGAGGTCTTGCTATGTATTTCAGACTGGCCTTGAATTACATAGTCCAGGCTGGTCTCAAAAGTATGGGGATCCTCCTGCCTCAGCCTCTTGAGTGCTGGTATTACAAGTATGTACCACCATGCCTAGCCAACACTGTTGTTTATGGCTTACAAAAAACTTTCTTTTGGAATTATATTTGTACACTTAATGTTTATATTGTTAATTCATTTTTGGCAATATGCCCAGGTAATGTAGTACATGCCTGTAGTTCTAGCACTTGGGAAACTGAGGCAGGAAGATTCCTATGAGTCAAGGCCAGCCTAGGCTACATAGAGAGTTCAGAGCCACCCTGAACCATAGCAAGACCCTGTCTCAAAAACATTTTTTTGGAAGTATTAAGGATTGAACCCAGATCCTTTACACTGAGTCACACACCACTCCAGCTCTTTTTTAATTTTTTGAGATGAGGTCTCACTAAGTCCCTAAACTGCCTAAAAGGTCTTTAACTTGTGATTCTTGCTGCCTCATCCTCCCAAAGTACTGGGATTAAGAGGCATGCTGATGTGAGAATCCAACTCCTCCTAAAATGACATTTATTTTATAGAAATAGAATTGCCTGAACCCACTCCATTAAATGTTCCATATTGCAAAACATGGGTCATTCACTAACACCCCTTGGCTTCGGATATGTGACATATACAACCAATGGGTTACTTGATGCACTATTTATTTATTTATTTATTTATTTATTTATTTATTTTTGAGACAGCATCTCAGTAGTTCAGGCTGGCCTGGAGCCTACTATGTAGGCCAGGCTGGCCTCAAACCACAGCAATATGCCTCCTAAGTGTTGGTATTATAGGTGTGCAGAATCATGCCTGATCTCTTGATATAATTTCTTATTCAATTTGTCTAAAATTTACCTTTTTCCTCTAGCCATTTCCTCCAATGTACTTTCCTATTGATTGGTTCCTACCATCCGGATACCTAAGCCAAAGCCTGTCATCTTTAACTCTTCCCTTCTCTCCTCTATGCTTTTTCCAGCTCATCAAACTCTAATTGTGATATGTACTGAAAAATTCCATCCTCACTTCTCCACCTCTACTGTGACTTTCTCAGACATCATTTTTCATCATATTGGTTGCTCTATTCCTTTTAATTCATCCTCCTCATGGCTACAATTCTCTGGAGCTAAAAAGGCTCAATTCCTTGATGACTGAACAAAGGACTATAGAAATAAAACTTGTGCTCCTAGAGTGGATATTGGTCAAAGTAGTTGTGAATGATATTTGGGTCACTTGGGAAAACTGGGTATTTTACATTAGACTGTTCTTAAACTGGGCATGGTGGTGCACACCTGTAATCCCACCACCCAGGAAGCTGAGGCAGCAGGATTACTGCAAGTTCAAGGCCGGTATAGACTACATACTGAACTCAAGTCCAGCCTGCGCTACACAGAAAGACCATGTCTAAAAAAAAAAAAAAAAAAAAAAAAGATTTTTTTCTTTTGGTACCAAGCATTGAACTCATAACCTTATGCTTGCCAGGCAGGCACTGTGCCACTGAGCTATATCCTGCCCAAGAGATTGTTCTTGATCTCTGGGCAATTTACTAAAAGGGAAAGGACCCCTTCTTGTCTCTCTCAGACAGAAGCTATCTTTCCCCCAATAAATACATTCTGCTTTTAACCTCTGTTGTTCCTAAAACTCATCCTTCAACTTTAGAGAACATGAACTCATACCAGACATCTTTCAGGTTGGGAGAGTCTTTCCCATATATCACTAGTGCATGGGATGCCATGGAGAAGAGTGTCATAATTACGTTTCAGTAAATTTTACCTATGCTATCAGTAGCCTAACCTGCCACTGACAAGAGTGAACCCTTGCTTTAGTAGAAAGTAAATGGAAATTAAAACTAAAATGACAGTATGAATTTACAAGCAAAATCATTCACTGGAAAGTAAGAGAAAAGATAGTGAAGGAACTGCAGCTTGAGTAGCTGGAGCGGACACATTCAAATGGAGAGGAGCAGATCAGATGGCTTTGGGGGTGCTGCAGTCTCCTTGTAGAGGTGGTTTCTTTGTTCTTTCTGTCCCGAGGAAAAAACTGGTCAAGACAAGTGCAGATGGTAATAAGGTTTTACATTTACTGAATACTGAAAAGGAAATAAGCTTTATAGGTCAAGTAAAAGTAGGAAAATAAACACACTCTATAGGATGAAAGGCCACAGTAGCCCCAAGCTCAAGGCCAGCTGCCCTTGTTATATTTCCCACCCTGACGCTGGCATCAGGTCTGGGCCATCTTATCAAAAAGGCTGCTGTAGTTCTTGGGAGAAGCCTGCGCAGGGCACATGTGTATTGGACTTTGTAATTCACGGATCAAGCCTACTTTCCCAGCTAGTCTTAGCCACATCCTAGTCTCCTGCCTCAAGCTTGCTCACAAAAGCAGGAGGCCAGATTTCCAGCATTAGCTGAAGAAAGCCAGGGTTTTCAATCATTATTTCAGTTTTGGTTTCCACAGCTCCAGAGGAATCCTTATGGTATGAGGGGCAGTTCCAGTGATTTTTTTTTTATGTATCACAATCTTAGTCATAAGAGTCTGCTTTTTCTGTGTCCAACTGACCACAGGTTCCAGGTAATGACTGGAGACTTTTAGCTCTCATTCTGAGGTAGGAATCTGGAGCTGGACATTATAAAAGCTGGTAATTACCAGCTGTAATTTGGTAGATCCTGAAAATTAGTTTTTCTTACCTTAGTGTCCTCAGTTCTGAAGGGGGCAACATAGGCTATCTAGGGACAGCACCATGGATAGGAAAAAAGGGGGAAAAAACACTGTTAAGTCCCTGTTTGGCTCACAAGAAAATATAAAGCATACTTTTAACGAGTAATAGGTAGGCCTGGGGATTTAGCTCAGTGGCACAGAGCCTGTCTGACAAGGTGAGACCTTGAATACAATTCCCAGTACGGGGAGGGGGTGAGTAATAGGTTAAGAGTCCATGAGTTTGTCCCCATAGTAACCTCTGAATATGTTATAGTGGCTGCTTAATTTCTCATGATAAAGATGTCTGATACAAGATAGATGCTCAACAAATGTGTGCTGCACCATCTACATATCATTTAAAAGAAATATTAGTGATAAAATGTTAAGTAATTTTCCTATTTTTTTACAAATTTCAGTTTAGTGGTTCTGTTAGTCACATGCCTGTTACCAACACAAACACCTGAGATGATAAACTTATAAAGAAAAAAGGTTTATTTTGGTTCACTGGTTTGGAGGACCCAGTTCATGCTTTGAGGTTTCCATCTCCTTTAAGGCTTGTGGAGGCTGCACAGTGCAGGAGGAATATATGGCAGAGCAAAATCACTCACTGACCAGCAGGGGGCAAAAGAGGAGAAGGAAGAGAGCAGGGCCCAAAACTTCTGAGGCTATACCACCACCAATGACCTAGGACCCCCACTAACACCACCTCTAAAGATTCCACCACTTCCCAATAGGGCCAAGCAGAGGGCCAAGCTTTTAATACATGAGCCTTTGGGGAACATTCCAAATCCCAACTACAGCAATGGCATTATTAGTTAATAAATAAAATAAGACTATATTCAAATATTTTATATTTTATAAGTATATCTTAAGATACTTACATATATACTTACATAATTTTATATAAAATGAATACCATACACATATTTGCCTATCACTATCACAAAATACTATTTTATATAAAACATTATCCAAAGTTAGGAACACTAATGAAATCTACCTGAGGAAATAATACGTATGTAGGG